TCGATCATGGATTACAAGAAAAGAAAACAAACATTTCGATCATGGATTACAAAAAATTCTATAATGGGTTACAAAAAACCAAAAAATTCGATCATAGATTACAAAAAAACAAAAACAATTCGATCATGGATTACAAAAAAACCGATCAAGTATTACAAAAAAATCTATCATGGATTACAACAACAACAACAACAACAAAAAAAAAAAAAATTCCTTACGGACTCGCCGATTCACTGTTCGGACTCGCCGATTCCGTACAGTGAATCGGCAATTCACTGTACAGAATCGTCCGGTTCTCTCTAGAACCGGACGATTTCCGATTTTTTAGGCGATCCGGTCCCATTTTCACTATTTCCGAGTCGAACCGGACGAGTCCGGTTGGACTCGGCGTTTTTTAAAACACTGGTTTTAACTTTTCCTAGAGGGACCACACGTATGCATCCATCTATAAAATGGTTGTTTTATGGCTCAGGGACAAATGTACATATGCATCCCGGAGCATACAACACTTTTTTTGAAAAAAACAAGGTCTACTAACAAAGATGACTATGTTCATGATAAAGCCCTACTTATGAAACCATCAACATGTATTTAAAGGGAAACGTTTATATAGAGCTGAGGCTCTAAACAATCAAATTAGAGCCTACCTTAAAACTATCCCTAGAAAATTTTGTTTTGATGCCCAAATATCCTCAAATTGATCATCTCGACATCATGATACATGAACATGAGAATACATTGGATTTGAAGTTTTGAAAATAGTGTATTTTGTAATGCACTTTTGGACCGTCAATTTTAAAGATTTTTAAGTTTTCATAGATATGTTGATCTACACTATTTTTGAAGCTTTAGATTATATAAATAAAAAATAAAACATATTTTTAAATACGCTCTAATTTGATTGTTTAGAGCCTAGGCTATATACAAACCACACCCTTATTTAAATAGGGCAACTTGGAGTGCAATTAAAGGTACAAGTCTCTAGGCAGGTGTTTCATTTTGGAGAATAAAAGAACGAAATAGATGTGAAGCAATTTTGATCTTGGCATCTTCTTTGTTTTAAGAAAAATGCACGTCATTTGATTAGTACATTTTCTTGAGCAGACATATTAAAATGCTATGTTTCAGTGATTTAAAATGGTTATGCTTATACTAGGTTCCAATGTCGAATAACGGTAATTTGATCATTTTTTACTATATTTTTTAGGAGGCATATGAGTGAAATGAAAGTTAAAGAGTAATACCTAATTGTCAAAAGGTATGATTTGACCCCCTTGATAATTTTGTAAGATTTTCATCATTTAATTCGTATTTTCCCTACTCTTTTCGAGTACTCGATATAACTGAAGCCAAAGGTTACATAGCTTGGAGAGCATTTTGTTGTTTTTTAAAGGAAATTTTATCAAAACTCACATAAATGATCAACTATTAACATTTTAACATATTTTTTTTTTTAATTTCAAAATGCCAATAAAAAATACATAGCAATGAGTTAGAATCGTCGAAAAAGGGTAAATTATGAAATTGTTGAAAAGTCATGTTTATTTAGATAAATTTTGCTTTTAAAACTGTAAGTCGTATTAATATGCGTACTATTGTGACCTAACTGAGTAGTTAATTTGACGTGCAATTTGTACAATCAAATTTTTCGGATATATTATGACTAGGTATTAATTAAAGAGTGCAGTTAGGCATTCCAAGTGCAAGTGATCTCATTGCCTATAGCATTAAATTGTCGTTTTGGTTTTATGTGGCATTCTCTATAGTTCATTTAGTGAACTATGTGATAGTGGCTAAACTCCATTATTTGCAAGGGAAAGGTGTCTATACTTCCCGTACTGTATGGAGTATACTTCCCGCCCATCCAGACGTCCAATTTTGATCAAGTGAACCACTAATTGTTTGATTTAGATCTGATGCTTCAGAGCATTTTATTTTAATTTTTTTCTACAAATTATATGAATATGAAATTTTATACGTACCATCATCTCAATGGGGTGCACCTAAAAAAAAATCTATAAAATAAAATGATCAAAATACCCCTAAAACTTTTAAGGACATTTTGGTTATTTTATTTTATCTAGATTATTGATTTTATATTTTTTTTAGAGGTGTGAGTTTAAAAGAGGAGAGGACACCCAAAATTTCGTGCAAAATGATTTGTAGAAAAAAACTAAAAGTAAAATAGGGTAGAGGCGTGACATTGTGGTTGGGGCCATTAGCTGTTCCTTCAGAATGGACGGTTGGATAGGGGGAAGTATATAAGTTTTATACATTAGGAAAAATATAGAAAGCTTGCCCGCCGGTTGCTATTTTAAGATTAATTTAATTAAACAAAAAACAAACTTTTTTTCACGACCCATGGCCAGGTGAGAATTTATGGGGGAATCAGGTCATGCAAGTAATGGTTTGGTAAAACTAAAAGGATTAGTTTCTTACAGTTTAGTACAAATGCCAAATAAAGGATTGGAAATTCCCATAATGGGGGGAATACTCATCGATACAGGAAATACGATTACTTAACCGATGCGTTTGGCAACATGAACTCGCAACTTTTGACGAGCATCTCTCCTGGGACTGTAGCACTCCTTGTATTTGATAATGAGATGCATTTTGGAGGCGGCATCTTCCTGCCGTTTCCAAAATAGTATAAAAAGGGGATGCGGCAGCTTCCATGCTACTCCATGGAAACTGCCTCTTCAGAAGCAACTGCCTCTTCAGAAGCTCGGGAAGATGGGGCTTCCACCAATCAAACCTATCAACATGTGTCTTAGGCAGGTGCAGTTTTTTAAAACTAGTGGGTGGATGCATTACTATCGCATCACGGAATATAAACTTAATAGTCAGCCATTTGTTCTCAATCTCTTGTTGTTCCCAATTGCCAGAGAATTTCATTGAGTTGAAGAGTACCTAAAAATGAAATTTTTATGAGTCTCATAGATATTGAGAGAAGCCAATGCTTATTTTGGTAAAAAGATAGCAGAGAAACTAAGTTCCTCCCTGAGGAACAAGGTACGCAACATTTGTAAAATCCATTCTTATGTCATTTGATTACCATGAATTAATTATATGTTTCACTTCCACATAAACATATACATTACAATGGTGCACATGCCAACACCCCACATGAGGAGGGACATCAAGTTCATAAAGATAATGGATAGTTCTTATTGAGAGAGAGGATGGATCCTAAGGGCATGGTGGGGCAAGTTGGTGGTATTTGTACTCCAAGAAGGAGAGAGAGAAGATCCTAGAGGCAAGTTGGTGGAATTTGTACTCCAGCAGAGACTCCATTCACATTGGTACACGAAGCAGTTGAATCTTCCCCTTGGTCATTGTACTTCAATTTGATGTCATCGAGCTTAACATTTTCACATGGGAATGCCCTGCTGCATAAGAGATTCACTGCAACTTTTGAAGTCGAGGTTCCTCTAATGTTCTTGAAACTTATATTGTTTATCTTCACTCGTGAGGGACCCTGCAACAAAGGAAGAAATGGTTTGTTCAAAATGAATTCTTGTTTTTATCTCCAATACATACAATTATATGAAATGAACCTCTCTCTCTCTCTCAATATTTTTGGAAACTCGATACCCTTACTTCTCGATGCAATAACTTTTCTTAAGAGGTATTTTAGATAATTAATGAAGGCTGCTGAGCTAGAAATATTTCATAGAAACAAGTGTATTTGTCAACTATTATGCAGAACGATATCATCCTCATGAGATGTAATACTATTCACATGGGTAAATGACATCATCTATATAGGATTCTAATTGCTTTCTTAAAATAGTACCATGATCTTCTTCTAAAATATCCATTGCACCTCTCATTTACGGAAAAAATGAGTCTTTACTCAAAAAACTTCTGTATTAGAATCCAAACATAATGAATATCCAAAAATGTTCCAGAAGATGGAGAGAATATAAGATGCGGTAGTATTTTAAATGGTACTCTTTCGTGGTTTACCTTATGTGAGCAAGACGCATAAGGGCAGTATTCTTGATCTATTATGATGGGGTTGGCCACATTGTTCATCACTATATCCTCATATGTGAAATTGGAAGCAGAACTGCTATCTGAATCTTCCCAAGTCTTGATCCTCAAACCATTGGTGGTGTCTGAGATGGTGCAGTTCTTCACGTGAAGCCCTTCCACATCGCCCTCGTTGGGGCGCTTGCCCAAGCTACCAACACTGAAATATATAACGATGTTCCCATGAGCCTCAATCTAGTTTTTTGGTTAAGTTAAAAGGGTACATTAGATCTATTCATTTCTTTTTACAACGTTCCAAAACCTCTTGTAATCCTTGTCAGAAAAATGTTGTAAACAAAGCACAGAAAAAGCAGTAGTTCACCTAATTCCATGTCCTGGTCCACAAAACACATTGTCAACGGTTACTTGGGTGCTACCAGGACCAAGGGAGATACAATCATCGCCTGTTCCAATTTGAGATCGCGAGATCGTGATGTTCGACGAGGATCCAATATGAATGCCGTCAGTGTTGGGGCTGTCAGCTGGTGCTGAGATCTTGATGGATTGGACCTCCATGTTCTTGCAGCCAAACAATAGCATGTGAAAGAGCTTGCTATCCACAGAATTTATGCCCCTTATAGCCCCATTTGTAATAAAACTGAATTTCAATGACTGCAAAAAATTTCAAGTACCATGAACAAACAATAATAATTGTCAATGAATTCCTGGCTTAAAAATTGAAAACACAAATGCTAGTCCTTTACTTTTATTGCCACAAAAGCAATATCTCCAGTACAATAACTAATTTTAGTCAACATTTATATGTGCGTGAGCTATAGAACCCATAACTTCAAGGTCGTAACAACAAATTCCCGTTAACTAAACTAAAGACTAGATCCAACAATGCTGGAAGTTGTATAGCTAGAACACTGTTATAAATGGCAATAGGTTGAAGGAGGGAGATCATTTTCACCGTAGGGAGGAGTTTGCAGTGGGCCTTCTTAGGACACTGGTTGAGGCTCCAGGCAGATGCTCCCTGGCCATCGAACGTCCCTCCCCCAGTTAGCAGGAGGCCATCTACATACTGGAACACGATCCAGTCATCGGAAGGGTATTTGCTCATATCTGTGGAGGCCTTCACTTTGCCCTTCACTTGCACCACCACAGGAGAGGCATTGGGGCACGGACCCTTGAACAGGACTGGACCAACGAGAAATGTTCCCTCCGGGATCACAAGGCTTGATGGCCCTTTCCACTCACATGCCGCCTTCCAGGCCGCCCCGAAAGCCTGCAAAAATTTCATACCACCTTAAGCCAACTAACTCGAGGTTTCAAAAACCACAACATTCTTGTGCCCATTAAGTGCCTCGGGGCTGTGTTGTTATGTAAAAGAAATGGCAATAAATAAAAGTTAAAAACGATAGAGCATGAATTTTTTTCCCTTTTCAATAAATGGAAGTTTTGTATTTAATAAAACCATTATAGGAGGCTGAGGCTGAGCTTTCCCAAAAACAAAACATAAAAATAAAAAATTTCAATAAACAAAGTGTTCTGAGATGCACTTAACTGGTAGCTCTTAGAAATAAAAAGTAACCGACCAAGAATCTTACCACTATGGGAATGGGGCTAGGGCTGGGGTTGTGGTGGTAGCACCATCTCAGCCCCACTTAAAAGTTTTGACCTCCATTTTCACCAACGGATTCGAAAATCGACTATTGCAAAAAACAAGAATGGCCTAATGATCTCCATCGACTTGCCCAAAAAAAAACAAAAGTTTCTTCCCACCATCCTCCCCATTCTACTTTAGTATTGATAGGAATGGGCTGGAGTCAAGCCTAGCAAGTGCTCAGCCCAACTAACATATCACATGCCCAACCCATTGGAAGAGCCAATCTCGGTGTGTTACCTGGCCCACTCTTTACCTATTTCTAGAGGAAACGTTTAAAATAAAGATCATTTACTTTTGGTACAAGGTAGTCACAATTAATTTTGACCATTGGATATGAAATTGGATAGCTACATTTATTCCAGTGACTTAACTCAAACCTCAAAAGAAATTTTTTTGATATTTGTACCGCACCCAAGCAATCAGATTTCACATCAAATGGTTTTAAGTACTTGTGATCTCCTTATATCATAGGTAAATTATCTCCTTCTAAACAATCCCATTGGTAAAACATGAAGGTTACGTAACCCTTACACCTTATTTTTTTAATATAACATAAGATATAATGATTATTTTGATATTAAAAGGGATGTAATAAACATCAAACTATTGACATTCACTTTAATTAATTGATGTAATGCTCTTTTAAGGTTTACCTCTGTGTTGTCCTTGGTGCCATCAGCAATGGCACCAAATTGCATCACATTGAACACTCCAAGTGAGGAAGCCTCCACAGCAACACATGACATTGCCAGGAAAATAACACAACACACCAAAACAAATTCTTTGGAGTTCTTTTTGGTGTAATCCATGCTTTTTTCCTTAAGTTTCACCTATCGAACTGTATATATGACAGAGAGAGAGAGAGAGATGGTTTGTGCCTCGTGGAAACGTAGGTGCATATTTATAGTGAGAAAATTGATGCTAGAAGTAGAACCACTGCTACCAAACCATCCACGTTGCTGGATGCAATTTTAAGAGTAACAACTCCTCAACTCCTTTTTGTTTCTTCTCTCTCTCTACACGTTGTTGGATGCCATTTTTAGAGTTACAACTCCTCAACTCCTTTTTGTTTTAAGCTTTTAGCTGTCCTCTCTCTCTCTC